ACCTTGAACAATCTCCAGAAATCAATTTAAAGGGTTATAAAATAATTGCTGATATAATATTTTCCCTATATTTATTAAAAAAACACAAAATAGGTAAAATAAGTATTCATATTTGTGTATAAGCTGATTAGATTGTCAAAAAACCTGCGTTTTTAGGGTTATTAATGAAGTTCATGAACTCAGACCAGTAATATTTGGGGTCACAAGTTTTTGCCATGGATATTTTGTGGGTCAGAAGACAAAAAGTTTGGGAACCACTGCTCTAAACTACTTCTAACTTTCAGCTCCATATCTATAAATCAGTTTTTTATGTGTTGAAAAATTAACATATGTCCACACTTGTCCTGTCAGACAGTAGACTGGCATCCATTCTTGTCCTGCTAAACAGTGGACTTGTGTCCATTCTTATCCTGTCAGACAGTGGACTTGTGTCCATATTTGTTCTGACTGCCAGTGGACTTGTTGAGACAGATGTTGTCTGTTCTGAGCCTGGTTCTGATGGAGGACTGTTCTTCTTCAAAAGGGTATGTTTCACTGTCTCCAATGTGCTGCTAAAGATAGGAGAAGGAGACAAAGTGAAGATTAAAGACAATTTGACTTCCTCACTTTGATAACTTTGTATGTGAAGGTTTTTTTATACAGAAAGCTGAGATGACTTTTTCTTTTGTGAATTGATGCTTTATAAAGTGACTGAATAGATTTTTTTAATCAGTATCTTTACACACTTATTATTCTGGATGTTTACATACTGTGATTATTTAGGCTCCAGTGAGACAGCTAAAAATCTAGTTCAAATTTCTTAGAGAAATTTTTCCTTTTTTTTTCTAAACTTACTGCAGAATTATCAAGCAGCAATAAATATATTCATGAGGAGGGATCCTGTTTTGGTAATTAATTACTGTGACCTTGCACAATTGTGACCCATCATACCAAAACAAGGATTAATCTGCAGGTCATGTAGTCAGATTACAGGAAGACAAATTTTACAGGCTAGTGAGAAACATCAACGTCTCTGGAACTGATGATGTTAGGATGATCCAGGTAAAACTCAATCTGAAAATCTGCTTAGTTTAGTTCGACCAAATCCAACTTAATCTATAATTAGATTTGATGTGACAAGTTACATTTATGATTAAATATATTAAAGTTTTGTAACTCCTGCATGAAAGGCAGAGAAAGATATTCATTACTCTGAGCTGGGATCTGAATTTGGAACACAAGTTGCCTTGTTTAAGTTTTTCATTGTCAAGTCTAAGTCAATGAGATTCAGCTGGTTGCTTATGTGTAAACAACTGAAACATTGTAAATTTAAACCATTTTGATATCTAATGTACATTTTATACATATTTACACTCAGACACAGGCCAACACATTATTGAGTTGTGTGGAGGTGTGCGATAAATAGAAAATCCTTTGATGATGATTTTCTTCTTTTTACCTTTGATCCCTAATAGAGTGCAGACTGAAACTATTTAAATGTGTGCAGGAATTAACACCAACAAATACATTATTTTGTTTGTATAAAATCTGTAAGTTAGAGTCCTGAACACTGGATGCAGACAGGACATAAAGTTAAAGAAAAAACAGCCAGACTGTGGATAACTTTGCCTCTTCTGCCAGCACACATTAGGGACACAGTGGGCTCCTGGTGATAGTGTAATTAGTGGTGATGTTCTTCCACAGTGAGGTGGTGTATTATTGGGATGACAGTATATTGTGGTCCTGAGTGGAGCATCATGGTAACTGTGGCAGAGTATCCATGGGATGGGGCTTACATGTACAGTGGTGCGTTGGTCATCTAGAACATTAAACTACAACCCCATGATTACACAGCATTTACGTCRCACTCCAAGGGTGTACTCACATCTGACAYATTTGGTCCACTTTAAACGGACCAGATTTTATTTCTCCCTTTGGTCCGGATCTTTTATGCTGGTGTGGTGTGATACACTCATGCAAACCCTGGTGCAGATCAAACAACATTTCGGACCGAGACACATTTTTGAGGTGGTCTCGGTCCGCTTCCAAATGACCTCTGGTGCGGTTTGCTTCTGGTGTGAATTCAGAACTACAGGAAACGTGCCTTTTTGGACTTCATGAGCCACCATTGCTAAGCAACATGGTAACAATTAGCCCTTCAGTGTTGCTAATGCTAACACTATGCTGCAAACAATGAGCCAAGGACAGACCTGGAGCAACAAGGAGATACGGTTCCTCCTCCATATTTGCACAGATGCACACATGAGGGACATAACACATGCAGCACACAGGACTTCCATCTTTCTGAAGATCTGTCACTTCTTTTCAATGGGAGTAATGATCGTCACCCGTGTGGCTTTGTTGACAAATCATAGTCCACTTGCAAAAAAAAAAGCACAATGTGAAAACAAATAAACAAACAAACAAACAAAAAAAGTTTGCTTTTGTTCCAGACCAAACAAGCAGACTGTCCTGGTGTGAATACACCTCGAAGTAAGTTACAGTGAGCCACAGGTCTTGATACAATCAATAAGTCTGCTCTCACCTCATGACTGCAATGATCCAGTCCTACTTTCCACCAATCCCTAAACACAATCCCATCATTCATTTGTTTTTTGGACTCAAGGCAAAAAGCCCTTGTTCTCAGCACAGTCTTAGTTTTAACAGAATCTGAGAAGTTTTCTTCAATTTCTCTTTGCCTCTCTCTAGAACCAGGTCAACAGTTTTTACAGTCTCTCTCATCTCACCTGCTGAAGCTGGGAGCTCCTTCAGAGTGGTCTCATGTGTCTTGGTGATCCTCTCCCTCTGTTCTCCATCTATCAGTCAGTTTGTCAGGACTGTATTCGTCTTATTTTAGAAATTTGATTTGACTTTTTRTTGAAGAGTTTTTTTGACAAAAAACTAATTTATATTGATTTTTGTTTCATGACAACAATAAAAGAAGTGTTTTTTAAAACATTGCACACAAAGAGCTTTTACGTTTTTACTTCTTAGTTATAAACTATGAGACAAAGGCAAAAGTGCAAAATAATTTCAATAAATGTCACTGCATTAGTCTCCTACAAAGCAACAGTTTCAAAATTGCATAGAGCAAAGTTATTTATTAAAGTGAATAGTTTTAATCAATGTTCAGAGACTTGCTGCTAATTATTCTGTCAACCTGTGATCATTATAATCCTTCATTTATACCAGTTCAATGAATTAATTTTGAGTTTAGGATGCACACATTCTGACAGCTGAGCTCACCCATGGATCATCCTTTAAACTGTACAATCCTTTTAAAAATAATTATAATGGCAGAAGCAGGGTTGTTTTTCTTCTCTTTTATCCTTAGAGTGCAGGTGTTGTGTCGAAAAATGTGCCCTGACTTGAAAAGAACTATTAGGAAACGGCTTAGTGTGTTTTTTTAGTTGTGTAAAAACAGAATTAGAGTTAGACAGCTGCAACAACTGCATTAATACTTTCCTAAATCCATAAAAAGTGGAAGAAAACATATCAAAATTAGCAAAAAGAAAATAGCAGGAAACAACCTGTTTGGGTAATAACAATTGCTTAGTGTCACGCTTGGAGGAAATCTAAAATTGCAGCAATTAAAGTTGGGTTGGTCACGGAGAGCCAAGCAGAGTCGTTATCCAGCGTGAAGGGGCTTTATTTTAATTGACATTTAAATGTCATTTTGCCACAGAAATAAAGTTCTGAATAAATATATTTATATAACATTGAGGGATTTAAACACATCGTAACAAATCTTTGTTATGAATAAGGTATTAAAATTTCTCTAGGATTCTTAAACGGATTAAACTTCTAAAAGGCGTTCCATCTGCATGTGAATAAATTCAAAATAAAAAAGGCAGTAGCTGGAAACATATCACTGAGATTAATTGGAGGCAAACTCTGTCCTGTTCCTTTCAATACTTGAGTTGTTTCTGACTTCACTCCTTCCTCTACTCATTCATGCGTGTGGTCCTAATTATTACCAAGGATGAGTTCATTAGTGCTCTGAAACTACTCTGGATATGGGGGGTCATCATGGGTAATTAAAAGCAAGAATATCAGCACTCTCAGTTTTTAYGGTTCAATAATACTGTAACAGTTAAAAGGAAAGTATCCTCTCCATTTATCAGCCTGTGCCATAAGTCAGATTCTGGTCGGGGAAAGATAATTTTCCCAACTGGTCAGAAAAATAAACCAGACAATAAAAAGCAGGATGTTTTAATGTGAAATATTTTAACTGCCTGTTTGGACAATGTACCAAATAAACTAACCTCTTTGTCTATTTTGAACACTGTGGGAGTCCTTTGACTGGTGTAGTCTTCATTTCAGCTCCTTTATTTTAGTCACTGGTGAACAGAGTTGAAACTCAGCTCCTATGTCTGCCAAGTGTGGTRAATCGGTTTTTGGACGCTGCATTTTAAATATATTTGCTCCCGTGTCAGATTCGGCTCAAATCATTCGTCTCATGAGTCTTGTCATAAATCTTCTCCATTCCTGTTTCTCAGTACTTACCAGTCAGAGCGCAGATGTTGGCGCAGGCGTTCCTCAGACTGTAACAACAGATAATTTCCTTGAAAGTCTTCCTCATCTCCTGACTTCTGAAGGCATAGATGAGCGGGTCGATCACTGCGTTGCACATGATGAGAATGAGGTACATGTTGAAGTGGGACATGAAGCACACGCAGTAGAGGTTACGCGGGCAGGAGATCATGAGGATCAGGTGAAGGAAGAAAGGAGCCCAGCAGACAATGAAGATTCCCAGGAGGATAGTRAGTGTGATGGCGCCCTTCATGCTGGTGCGCTGGTGGATGGAGTTGTATCCGGGCAGGGCGGCAATACGCTTGATGTGTGAGCGGGCCAGCATGAACATGTGGCTGTAGAGGGACGCCATGATGAGCAGCATTGCGAAGAACATGGACACCAGACAGATGATGACAGGGGTGGTCTCGGAGTAGATGATGAAGACAATGCCACAGCTGGTGCAGAAGGTCCAGATTCCTCCAATGATGCAGCCCGCTCTCCTCACTGTCATGATGTTGTGGTACCTCAGAGCGTAGAAGATGGTGACGTACCTGCAGAAGACAACACACCGTTTACTGATTACCCAAGTCTTCAACATCCAGAACTATCCATACCATCATTCTATGTCCTGAGATACATATCGGCACAAGTTTGTACAAATTTAATTTTTTTTCTTCCAATTATATCTGTTGTTTTACTTC